ATTTTCCCACAAAATAAAAGTGCTGCCTAATGTTTCAGGTACCTGCACTTCCTTTTTGTCCTTCTCTTCCTGGATGTCCTGGCATTCCTGGTGGACCTAGAGATGCACATCAAAAAACAATGAAATCTGTTAAGACTTCATTCTGCACAACTGTTAAGATTAGCTCTACAGAGGATCAAACATTATTCTTACCTGGAAGGCCTGGAAAACCATTATCTCCTGAAAAACAGTTTAAATTGTTTTTTTTCTTAAACAGTTTTCATGTTTAAGACTGTAAGCAGATCAATAGAAACATATAGGTCAACTAATTCACAGACTTTTCACAGCCAGTTTTAAAATTGTACAAACCCTTTGTTCCTGGAGGTCCAGTGTCACCTAAAAGTGGTGAAAAGAGCAAATGTGTGATTGATGTAGTAGTGATGGAAAAGCAGGTTACTGACTATTAAATCTCCATAGAATGTATAAATAAAATTTTCTGTACTGGCAGTTCAGTAAAAACTATATATCTGGTGTACCTTTATGCCCTGGAAGTCCTCTTTCAGCTTTAACTGAAGAAGCAAGGAAGGCTAGATACACAAAATGTATGTATTAAATGTAATATTATTTGTATTAAACATATGCATATATGCGTGACATTTTATAAACAATGTACATGTTTAGGTGCATGTGTTGTTTGTGTGTATAGGCAGAACTGTATTCACACGTACCTTTCATGGCTTCAGACTGCAGCTCTGCTTTCAGTATTTGCTGTACATTTCTTTGCAGTACAGAATTGTCTGAATAAACTGCAGAATCCAGTGAATTAACATATGCCGCTTTACTTCCAGCTTCTTTATATATGTCAATGTCATCAATAGGAGCGGACAGACGACTCGTGTGAGCTGCCATGGAGGAGGTTATTCCCTCAAGAGCGCTGACACGAGACTTTAGTTTCTTTACCTCCTCAGCTTCAAGAAAAAGAGATTTGCTTCAGATTAGAAGACAATATGCAATAGCACATATATCTAAGTTAGGCAGAAAACCTATTCTTGAGTTGAACTGCACACAAACAGTAATCCTCTATTGATAAATACACATTGATACATAAGATATACAATTCCCTTCTCCCAAGTTAAACCAAATCCACAGAGGTAAGAATGCTTATTATTTTTTAAATAACTTCTTAATAAAATTTAAAATACAATTTTACATTTTATTGAAATTATTTGGTGAATCATAATTTGCCTCACATTTTGAAAACCTTCTTCTGTACAGTTTTAAAATGAAGCTACAAGCTGTTTCAAATGTTTTATTAGCTATAACTTTACCCCAAGAGAAATAGTGAATAAATGAATCACGTCTTTCATTAAAATGACTAGACTTACATAAAGCAATGAGTCCAAACAGAAGGCCGAGGAGCAACAGGAGGCTGAGCAAAAACCCCAGCAGCCACTTCCACCAGGAACAGCTGTTTGGCCCACAACCACAAAGACCCCCTCCACAATTACAGCCATCATCCTCATCATCAACAAACTTCGCCTTATGAATCTCTGACAGGACACACACGGGAAGAGACTGGTGATTCTCTGTTTCATACAGTATGACTGTACATTCTACTGTGTGCACCGTTTTTTTTTTTTTTATAAAAAGGTTTTACCTGCATAAGTAGCTTTGTCTTTTGTTGACACTGATGTAGACCCATCTTTAGAGAGGTA